TAAGTGTGAATAACTATGTCATCCTTGTATATGCTGCACTGGACTAGACGCTCTTTAACAGACGCTGGCTCATGGCAGAGGATGTTGAGGAGATAGGAAGTGTGTTGCTAATGTCTTTTAACTCTGCTCACGGGATATAAGTATAAAACGTGCTGAATTTTAAATAATACTCGTTTACACGTACGCATCGCTAGGTATACTTCTTTGTGTGTATGACGTGAAACTGAACATTTTTTTTTTTGCGTTGGGGCAGGAGAGGCCTAATATACGAAGCACTAACGCAATAGGCTACCCTTTAATGAGCTTGGTGGATTTCAATTACTACGGTTTTACACATTTTAGAGAAGAAATATTGTGCAGTTCAGAGAAGCTGGGGTTTTTACCGTTCAAACATAAAAACTATACTGTATGTGACTAAATAAAAATTCATAAGAAAAAACAAATTCACTAACAACAAAAATGAGACAAATTCAGTGCATATTTATTTAAAGCAACAAGACGCCGAAAAGCAAATGCTAGATGTGGATTTAAAATGTAACCTACTTAAGAGACAGTGCAATTGAATACGTTTTAAATTGTAGGCACTGCTGAGCAGATATAGGAATGCACTGTTGCAATAAAGAGTATAATTAATGTGTTAATTAAATGTCACTTTTAAATCGTTGAAGTGCTTAAAGTGTTTTTAAAGAGATGTTATCAATAAGGATATTAACTACAAGGATACCGTTATTTTAGTGACTGATAATATTTCAAAATGATCTGTCTATAAAATTGTGAAGTGGTTTGTTTATATGAGTTATCGAGTGAACATAGTTTTTTTCTTGTCAGCCTTTGAAGACAAAGTTAGCAGTGGTAGTTTTAATAAATACTCAAACAGGAATACTAAGAAGTTACCTTGTATAGAAAATAATATGTCGATATTTAGACTACCGGTAGCTTAACCTAAGGTATGTTATCTCGCCTCAAAAGACACAATAAATGAATTTTATTCACATAAAAAATGGGTTACATATTAAGTTTGGTTTATTTCAATGTTATCTACCATACATAAAAAAGATGCTTGCATATCATTATAAAAATGTACTTAATATACAGATGGAAAAAATGCTTTAGTCAATGAAAACGTATGCGTGATTTTACCTGCGTTAGGTGAAACGTCTTCGTGTAGAGAGGTAGAGAGGGAAAAGTTCTCGAACTGGACAGATTTCAGAAGTCATGTTCTTTATTTCACAGAGAATAAAATAAACTTCAGTTCTCTTGGTACCTGATCCGTTTTCATCTTTCAAGATCTCCAAGTCTGAGTCTGCTCTTCTCCGACGCAGGGTGTAATCAAGCCTATTTCCCAATCCCCGGCGAAGAAGTGACGCGCATGATGGAATACACACAACCAATTCCAGATTTCAGGTACACTTTCTCGCGGATTGAAGTCTGGCTTGAAGTTTTTTAAAAAGCACAATAACAGACCCCAAAAACTCTCAAAGTATAGACGGTCACACAATGACAGTGGAAGATTCTACTTCTACAGAAAGTGAACACATTCATGCTCATAGTGTAGTTGGTTTTGATGAAATGTAGACCCAGAAACGGTGAAATTGGTCCCATACAGTACCTTCGCCTGTAGGCAAAGTCAAACTGTAAAAGACGATTCTTGTGTCCTTGAAACAGCAAAGACATTGAAACTAACCAAATGTTTTTTTTCCACTATATATTGAGATGATTATCATCTTGAACTTCACTAAGAAGAACATTTTGGCAAGCCGTGCAATGGAGATGAACCAGTCTTTATGTGCAAGTGTTGAGATAATGGGTTTTCTGTTTTTTTTTTATATACTGAAATTAGGTTTCTGTACATAAAACAAACCTTGAAAACTGAGCATATCACTCCCGTTAATCCATTAGCCATGGGGATCAAATGTCACTTTTGAAAATAAGGAAAAAGATTGTCATATGACTTTTTATTCTTAATATAGTAATATTGTGTTTCAGTATAATCTTTTTATCGATAATACGAGTCTGTTAGTACAATATCTGAATAACATATATCTTGCGACTACAAATTCAGTTTTCTTTTTTCACTAATATTTTAAGGAGTTTTAATAATCTATACAAAAACGCAAGCTGCGCATAGAGTTTTCCCCTTGCAAATTAACACATAATAGTTTTACAAGAACTTTATGCCTTTTACTAGCAGTCGAGGTTTTAAGCAAACTGTATGTTACCGATGACCTTCTGGCGTTTTAAAGACAAAAAAAACATGAATATTTTAGAAATGGATTTTTCGTGTTTATAACAGGTCTACTTTAATGAAATGACTCAAGGATTTAAAAAAATATTTAAAAAAAAACAAGGGCCGAAAACTTATTTTATTTCTAAAGAATACGACAATCTGCACTTTAAAATCACACAGGAGCTCCTAATTTCTAATGTTATTCATCAAATTGAACATTTTGTTTTCACAGAATAAATTGGTCTACTTTAAAATAACTTAAAATGTATAATTTCGTTACATCTCTTGAATTAGGTTTCGGGTCGTTTATAAACTATAATAGAGTTTCTTGCAACTTTAATATTTCTGTCTTAATCATACTTTGAGAGTGTTTACTTTTTCAGCAATTTATAAGCGAATTCCCAGATACTAGAAGTAGTCCTAACTACGTAAACGACATTTTCGCACTTTTTAATCCGTTAATTTAAAATCAACTTTCATTATTATTATTTGAATACTGTTGTTACATGCTAAATTGTAAATGTCTCAGTAAAGAGAGAACTACTTTGTTAACACGTGACAGAAACCCCGTTTCTAGCTTATTGGCTCACTTTCTTCCATTGTCTCGTGTTCACAAAAAGGAAAACATTTGAAGTATCTTTTTACATTTTTAAAAGGTAAAATGTTAATTGACCTTTCTGAGGTTGAGAGTCTTTTAATCTTTCTTCATTTAGGTGTTTGGTTGTGCTCACAAGTGCCTCTCCCTGCTGTGTTTTTATAAAGTGGACAAAGCACCAAAGAAAGCCCAATTAAAGGCTGGTGTTATGCGTTTTATACAAAAAAAAAACCGTCTGGTGTCGTTTTAACTGCAAATGTCGTGTTCCCCAGCAAAAACCTAGCCTGTAAATTCTTTTTAGCAAATACAGTATATACATATGTTATAGGCACAGCAGGGGCAGTACCTCTATATGTTATTGCAAGTAAATTCATCCTTAAGTGTCAGAAATGATCTACAGTAACTGAATTCAGGCTCAATATTATCGAAGCCCAGGCAACTACCATAAGCAAAATATGTAGTTTCCAATTAAACTAATGCCAATTATATATTCGGTATTCAGAACTCCCATTATAATCAGTAAATGTTTGGAAATCACCTGCATCTATTCACAATGTTCTGATCACTCTGTCTCAGATCTGTGAAAACTTCAGGACCTTTTTCGTGTTTCGGGTTTCAATGTGAGAAACCCTATTACGACTGAAAGGAGGATACACATGGCCAACCTAACTTTTTTTTTTAACGTCTCCGTTTATCCATTATTAAAACTTTGTTTACGTTATAACGTTTCCACAAATTAATTTCAAAACGTAATTTATAGAATATTAATTGCCATTGTTACTCCTTTGTATGAATCTATCCCCACTCGTGTAGTCGGAGTCTCAGCTTGGCCATGGTGTAATTGCTAATCCATTTAAAATGCACCTGGGTCGCCCAAAGCTCTGTAATTAGCAAAAAGACTCCACGCGCTTCTATTGCAGACCGTGAAATGCGCTGCGCTCAGTGCAAGAACAATTATACCACATTAGAATGAATGAGAATTTAATGTTTTCGATACGTTTTTTTTTTCCCAGCACGAAAAGGTTCATAGTGCCTATCGTTTTGGATGTTCTCTTCTGGACATTTATTTAACGCACGATTGCTTTTCACCATATTGAGGGGGGGAAGGTTATCAGCGAGCGAAGATGTTGACTCTTCAACAAAAAAGGCCCAATAAGACAGAAGAGCAGAAACAACAAGGGGGGGATGCTGTCTAAAACTGGATATTTTAACACCTCCGATGAAACATTTGGGAAAATTCGATAGTTCGTCTCGAAAAGCCTTTGTTTGGCTGAATTCAAAGGCTACAGGCTACGGTGAACGAGCCCCATCCCTTTGATTGATTAAGGCCCTGAATAAGTCGAGTTTCTTGACTGACAGAGAAGTGAATAGGCTTCCCCAAATAATGAGTACTGTGGTGAACGGGGCTGGCACGTCCCTGCCGAAGTAAAAAGGGATGAGTTTTCTGGCACTTACGAAGTTATAAATAAAGGGTCCCCACAATTGCACCTTCTTCGGGGACAGACAGCCTTTACAGCACTCCTGGCGTCGTATCCTGCTGTGGCCCTCCAGTCCCTAGTCAGACATTTCGCTTCTTTTATTTTAACTAGTCCAGTGCAATCTAAAAGCTACTATAAATTCCTAAGAATGGACAAACGCTAGAATATGTGTGTGTGTGTGCGCTAGTGGAGACAGACTCTAAATTACAACACATTTATTTTATGACCTCTGCGAGACCTAACCCCTGTAAGCGGATTCTGAGTAAGCTGCAGGCATCTTTTGCTCTTTTCGTTACTAATTCGAAAACGGGGAAAACTTGGGAGTGGGAGAAGGCACGATTTCTTCGCCCTTATAATAACGACAACCCGAGGCAAAGCCCGTCCGGTGTGAAACGCACAGCTGCCCGATCATATCTGTAATTAAAGACCGGTCTTGATAACACGAAATCGGTATCTGTTCTCACCCGAATCTCACACATACCTTCTTAGACAATGCGTTGCACTGTGACTACAATATGCTCAGGACTCTGAAACCGAGTCATGGAAGAAGAAAGTTGACACATCCACCAATCACGCTGCACTTTCTCTAACCGGGACATTCCTTCTTTTAGCCAATCAGAGGCGAGAAAAACCTGATGGAGCAAGGGGTGCAACAACTATTAAATGTTTCACTATTGCCCATAGAACCATTCCCTCGATCTGTGTCAACAACAACGCCACTAGTATATGAAGTTCTTCATCTAGTGACAGATCTAACCCTGTTAGATCTTCAGGACCGCGGAGCACCGCACTTGGTAAACTTGTCGGGAATTTTTACTTTTGCCAAAGTTTTTTTTGTGCGGGGGTGGGGGGGGGGATATTACATCATTTGGCACAGAAGGAAGCGTCTCGTAGCTTCATAAGAGCGAAACGATTGCAGCCTGGACTACAGATACTTTTTAAGGAGAGAGAGAAAAAAGAAACATTACTGCGTTTTCTGCTTCCACACCTTAAACGCAAGGTCACAAGTTTATCGAAGTGCGCAAAGACATGACAGCGATAGCTGGGGCAGTGCCAAGGATGATGAGACCCTCGCCTGGGCAGAATTACCCGCGTAGCGGATTTCCACTTGAAGGTAAATTGACATTTTCAAAGGGTTGCAGAATCCCAACTGTATTATTATTATTATTATTATTATTATTATTATTATTATTATTATTATTATTATTATTATTATTGTTGTTGTTGTTATTAATAATTACATGCCGTTACAGGACAATGCACATGTTATAAAAACAATAAGAAAAGACACAGTGGATAGCACAAATGCGTCGTTTTCTGAGAACTTATAAATTATTGCTATGTTTAAGAAAACTGCCATTTTCTGATACTACAGTATGTGTTTTAACAACACAAAAAAAAAACACGTGTTTTGAAAATGTTGTCTTGTTTTGTCCATTCAATTTGAATTCGTTCCACAAATTGGACGTTCGTTTGTTAAATGTGAGATGTTTTCAAATATGTTAAATCAAAATATTATACATCAGTAATTTAGAAGCAAGTGTTGCCACAATTAACTAATACTGGCTCGGATTTAATCCATACGTATTAAACGTATTACAAATTTATTTCTAAATGTCTTTTGAAATAGCAGATCTCATGCCTTGATAGGCTAAAGCCAACAACCGAAAGCAGTTAAAATGTAACGTTTTAAATTAACAATGTTAACAAATGGAAATGGTTATACCGATCTAGAAGAATTGACAGCCGTTATCACTTTTATTTCTTTATTAAGTTTCTACCCCTTTAGGTCAAGGAAGAGTAAATCAGCTTGGTGGAGTTTTCATAAACGGCAGACCTTTACCAAATCATATCAGGCACAAAATTGTGGAAATGGCTCATCACGGTATAAGGCCCTGTGTCATCTCACGCCAGCTCAGAGTGTCCCACGGCTGTGTGTCAAAGATCCTATGCAGGTATCAAGAGACAGGTTCTATCCGACCCGGAGCTATCGGCGGAAGCAAGCCCAAGGTGAGGCAGGAAGACGTTTTTCTAAGTAGAGCAGAATATAGAAATCGTGATATCCAGACATTTCTTTTAAGAGTCCTTTAAAATGTTACACCGTTATATCAACGTTTGAGGCGCATTTCACGTCATCAATTTCCGTCTTCGAACTAACTCCATGATTTCAAGTTTTAAAACTCATCTAAATGGCACTTCACAATGTAACAGTGTTTACAAGTTTTTTTTGTGTGGAAATGCATAATATAAATTCATACCTACAATAATATATATATATATGTCGGTATTGATATGTGTTCCCGAAAGTAATGCACTACAAAAAAACTTGTATTCTTTTAAAGTGCATCAAGAGTGGAAATTATTTTGTCTGATGCAAACTGTATGCATATATAATGGAGAGATCATATTTTTTCTGCAAAGTGTACTCTTCCACAGGGTATTAATGCGTGAATTAATAAATTAAAAAGTATTAATAATCAGCACGTGAACACATCAATGTTCCATGCAATGCGCGACAAGTGTTGCAATCGATACAATCAATAGCTCTTCATTATTGTTAGAATTGTTATTATTGTAAATTCTTATCACTTAAAGCAGGTGACAACGCCAGACGTGGAGAAGAAAATTGAGGAATATAAGAGAGACAATCCTGGGATGTTTAGTTGGGAAATACGTGATAAATTACTGAAGGATGGAATTTGTGACCGAAATACTGTCCCCTCAGGTATTTCAAGAAATGTTTTCAATACAAACTCACTTAATTCTTGTTTCGTTATTTTGGATAGGCACACAGTCAGTGAATATTGTTTTTTGCTAAGGCAAAACATGTATTTATAGTTACAAGAAATAAAATCAAAAGTATCTCGAATTTTCATTTAGTTGTTAAGTCTTTTCATTTTAAAACTTCCGTTTTACACTGTACTTTTGCTAAAATTTATATGTATACGCCTAGATAGAAATCCAAAATTCCTAAACCGCATATAACAGGTGTTTTTTAACCGTTTGTTTTTTGTTAAATTTTCCTGTGTGGGGTTTTTTCCACACCTGTATAATATTGAAACAGGAGCATATTAGGTGTATGGATGTACGTAGGATTGTTTTATGTGAAAATGTATTATTTTTATTGTAATTAACATTTTACTCTATATAAAATTGCAATCAATTGCATTATGGCTTGGAATATATTTTATTAATTTTAATTCGTTACTTTTTACTTGTTTAAGTGAGCTCAATTAGTCGAATTATGAGGAGTAAATTTGGAGGCAAGGGTGAAGATGAAGACGATGATGATGAAATCGAAAGAAAAGAGTTTGAAGAAAATGAAAAGAAAACGAAACACAGTATCGATGGGATCCTTGGAGATAGATGTAAGTTGTGTCTTTTATTTTGAGAAATAAAAAGGGATATCTAGTGATTAAAGTAGTATCTCAGTAAATGTAGCTAGCCTGCTGTTAATAAAAGTAGTTAATCTGGTGTATACTAATGTAAGGAAGTTATTGTGGATATTTATTTTGTCACAAGCAGGTCTTATGTATGCTTCGAAAAAATATTTTAACATTCGGCGCAATAATGTAATACGTGAGAGCACGATCGATATTATCAATGTCTTTGTGGGGTTTAAAAATAAAATATAATTGTAATGTAGCCCAGAAACAAAATCGAATTAGAAGGCACTTGCGTTTCAGTGCAGTGTGTGGGAAGTTTCCTACCGTTGTGTTTTGAGAGCTTGTCATGTCAGGTGGTAAATGTTTTCAGTAAGTGTTGAGAGTAATTTAAACAAGAGGTGATAGAGGCGACATCAAAGCACTCCCGTAATGGATAAACTGTTATCGGCCTCGAAACCTGTTGATGCCTTCACGCGTGTGTTAGGCCGGGACACCAGCCATGGAATGATAACACGGCAGTCATTTAGAAAGTGACTGCGTGTGATGCGTATCGAAACGAAAACAAAAACTACTGAGAGACAATACTAACATCCTATATAAACATCAGAAGTAAAATTGTTAATTTTACCGATTTCGTTTGCGTAGACTCGGATATCTTTTCGATACCAAAAAAAAAAAACGAACGCAGTGATAATGGTTTTTTTTTTCCCTGCTTAACTTATTGGTTTGTACATTACAGAGTGATCAGGTGTCATTTAATAAGAGTGGGTCTCCCAATCATTTTTTTTTATCTTGCGGTTGTTAAAAAAAGTTAGGAAAAAGTCCTAGGAATGATCGTCCGTTCGAAGTCAAGGAGTGTTTCATTTGTCTTTCTTCGTGTCGTTTGGCAGTATTCATGTAGGTATATTTTGAATGCTTCGTATATCTGATGATTCAAAAAAAGCTGGGATTTTTAAAAGAACGGTCGTCAACTCGAGGGCGGGCGCTTTAAAAATCAAATCGACTGCTTGTCCATATTGATACAGTGTCAAGGTATCAGAAATATCGCGGACTCGACCTTACTGCAAAAGAACGCGCTTGTAATTTGCGATCCAGAGCCTAGTCTAAAGTCTAATGGATGTTCTGGTTAAAAAAAAAACGCGAAGGATTCAGTCGGTTGAACCCACTAATAATTTTCTGGTTGTTGGCTTTAGCGGCTACTGTACTTAAATATTTCTGCAAACGGGCCAGGGAGGAGACAAAAAGTCCCAAATGAGCTGATCAAACATTTGTACAACTGTTCCATCTTTTACAAAGCCGGCCTTCAGTACACAATCAACACTTGGAGATGAACTTGGAAAACAAAGGAGAGAGAGTCCATTGAAACTCACACTTCAGCTTTTCGGTGACAAAGCCCGGGCTCGCAGCAGCTTGGCCAGTACAAAAGAAGGCAACCTTTTTATAATTCAGAGAGAAAAGAAGAGAAAGCAGGCCAACAAAGGGCTGAGAAAAGACATTATGAGCTTGCAATGAGGGATGAATTATTCAGTGATCTCCAATAGCTGCAGCTCCTAGCAGTTTTATGGACTCTCCACCGTGGAAAAATGGCCGTTTTCACCTACAAAATGTTTCTTTTGGAGTCTTTTAGGTCGTCTAAAGATGCCGACTGCCATTCAAAGGCACAATTGAAACCATTCTTTAAAAAGCAGAAGCAGAAGCATCCCATTTCATGCGCACCCCATTGTTAATTTAACATGTTTGAAACAGCATTTGTCAGCTTTTATAAAGACCTGTTGCGCTTCTTGAAAATGTTTGCAAAATGAGAGATGAACATGCATATAGCCTAAAACCACAAATTCGGAAATATGAACTACATGCTAGATGTTGTATCAGACATGTTAGGTACTATTACTACCAAAGGTCCGAGAAATGGAAAATAAATTATGAACAAAGAGACCAAAAGCCCTTCTAGTACTGGATTTATTATGGAACTGAGGAAAGTGTCCCCCACAAAAATAAAAGGCTAAGGCTGTAACAAACACAATGTAGCCTGTACTAAAGTCTTTTAGATTATATATCGGAATCTAAAAAAACTCCACAGCAGCAGCAACAACAACAATAATAATAATAATAATAATAATAATAATAATAATAATAATAGCCCACCACTCGTTATTACTTATAATATCGGCTAATATAAGAACTTGTCCGTTAAGGATTAGCTGTATTAATTCCGTAATACCCTCTTCTGGCCCTCTTTAACATTAATTGGGTCTTCTAAATGTTTCTGTTGCTGAGCTGTGTGACATTTAATGATTTGGAGAGTGTATTAAAGAGTCCTCTCTTGAATAGACACCAATGTTTCCCCAGAGAGGGGAACTGGGCCCTGAGGTGTGGTCACAATGGAGTCGCCCTAGTCATGCGCACTGCTACAATATTCACCCATCAAACTCACCCCCGAACCGAAAATCTCTTCAAGCAGATTAAATCGACTCTTTTATTTCTTCTCACTTTCATCTCAGACCAAACCCGCCCCCTTCGCCTGGGGCGCACATTCGTGAAATTTCTGTACCCGTTTCAGGAGTCTGAACAAAGGGAAGCGGTTCACTCGAGTGGGACAAATGCTTGCCGGCTTTTCCTGTTTGTCATTTTTTTAAATCATTTTTTTTCTTTATGCTGTAATGGAATTAAAGACAGCTGATTACTGTAGTTTAGACACGCGACAGGCGAACTCAAGATTAAATATTTAGATGTTAATTTACAATTAGCGACTTGTTGCGCTGACTTTGAAGTGTCATGACAGGGTCCGGGAGGGGCAAAGGTTAGTGTGATCTGTTCTTGATAGAACTTGAGCAGGGATCAAACTGTGGGCTGCAAGGAAATAAAACCAGGAGTAAAGACCCAACCGCAATAACAATTATTCGTATATTACGTTATCTGCACAAACGGGCAGCTGTAGGATGTAAAACATAAGAGGTGCAAACTACAGCTGTACTTATCGATTTCGCGTAATTGATTGCTTGTATGAATTATAGAGGTTTTACATCACAGAAAACACGCATTTAGCCAAAGTATAGATGGAAATATACAGGCCTACAGCAGCCCAGACACTGCGCGTTGGTCAATTGGAAGACTCGACTGTAGTTAACCGTCGCTTGACTGCAGGATTCTCACGGGTAGAGCAGTAAAACAGCGGAGGGAAATGAGCCATAGCAGCAAACAGGTCTCCTGTTAATTTGGGAGCAAATTGTGCTTAACAGGCCGCAATAAATCAAATCCCAAAAGCATCTTCATAGAAGACAATCTGATGGGAGGAGTTGCGTGTAACCTGCAGGCTACCAGCTTTATTTCGAATTCAAGTGCTACTGTAACCATAAATAATAAAATAACTGCTTATAATGTTGGTTCTGGGATTCAGTGGTTTCTACAGCGAATCGCTGGGTATTTGTGTTTCATTATTACTAGATTTATTGTAACACTATGATTGTGGACAATACTAGCTGGTGCAACTGAACCTTCAAATGGAATACAATTCCAGACTTGTAAAATAAAGTTCATATATTGTAGTTGGACAGCTGGCATGGTTTATAGGAAAAACCAATCCATGTAAATCTTTCTAAGGTTCTTCTAGTGTTAATTTCTCACCATGACCTCATTTAAAGGAACAGGATTTGCAAAGGTTTAACTTCTTGCTTTTAAAAGAGGATTGTTAGTGTAGTGTCAGTTTAAGGTTAAATATTTTACCCAGTGTGACTATTTATGCCAAAAAGCTTTCCTAATGGAAGTCTTAATAGCCATAGATTATACAACTTGTTGGACAGTAAAGAGGTAGTCCTATTGAATTTTGGGTTTTACGCCTATGGATTATCCTGCTGTTGTTTTACAACTTAGAATTAAAATCTGAAAAGGAAGTTTTCAGTATCTTTGGCCAAATATTGATTAAGTAGTTGTTTGCTGAGGCCATTGTTGTGCGCAGAAGGGCCAGTACTCCTGCCCCTTGTTGGTTAGCAACTATTGTTAGATCCCCTTAAGTACTGAGATCAAAGGCAAATCATTTAGATTTATTTGTCTGGGAAAATGGTCCTAGGTTCTGATACCCCTGTGCTGTGTTGCCCGAGAGCCATTACAGACATATTGCTGTACTTCATTTGTGAAAGACATCGGTTTTAAAGAGGTGGTGTTGTTTTTTTTTTTTAACTTTTTAGGCCAAATTTAAACTGGGAACAAGTCTCAAGTTACATATCGTCATGGGTTTAGAAACCATAATGCTTGTAAGGAACACTGCTGCCCCTATCAGCTCTGACAATGCAAGCTTTGGATCAGCCTATACATTACGAGACGTGCAATACAGTTTGAGACTGACAGAAAATTCAGTAGGAGCACTAAAGCATTTACTGTACAACTAACATATATTTATTCAGGCAAGGCTCCGCTTCTGACAGTTTGAAAAGACAGCAGTTGTATGCAAACAGAAGCAAATTGGCTATATTTCCTATTTTCTGTAAGATCCCACACTTTTATATGGTAAGTTAAATACAGAGTGGAAAACAGCAATTCATAGATCACCACTCCCACTTCATTTTATTCTGGGTCTTGCAAAAAAAAAATGCTTATCTCATTTTAACCTCATTTAGTTAATTAAAATTAGCCCGGGTTACAGAGGAAAGCGAGCCTAGTCTTGGGGATTTCCATTTATACTGAACAAAAATACCTTTCAGAAATACAAACAGTCAAAGGGATAACTTTATTTTTGAAAGGGATCCTGGAAAGGCTAATTGAATAAGCCTGGATCGCTCAAATATGTCATGGTGAGTGCAGTCAACATGTCATAATTAGGTTTATTGAGGACCATTCCAACAATCTGCTTCTATTCTTCCTGCTTCATTGTCCACAGCCAGGCAAATAGCCAGAGGACAAAAGGAATCAAGTGCTGACAAAACATGAAAGAGCAAAAAGATTTAGCTGCCTTTATCAAAGAAACTGAGAGGGACTTTGTTTGTGTA